CGTCACGCAACGTATCAACAAATCGTGACCTCTTCACTAGCATGGACTTTGACACTATGCATATCTGACTGTAAAACCTCGGTTGCTGCTGAAAAACTGTTGATTTTAGCAATAGACAAAGGTTGAAAGTCAGCTAGTGAAATCATTTATTTACGATATATAATTATATATTACAGTGAGAGCGTCGAACGCACTCTCATAATCTCTGATTACTACTAGTTAATACACAACAAATTAGAACCTGTTTTGAACGGATACCTTGTATTAAGCGGACAGTAGTGAGGGTCCCAAGGGTGTCCGCTAAATTCAGGTTTCACAACATTGCACATGGACACTTACGTACCCATTGACTGAACACTTGGCATCATTTTGTGCCGTGCCCAGACACTAGTTTTCGGGCCATGAGTGTGGACATAGCCTTGGGCTTCAATAGAGAGGACTTGGATTACAGTAAAGACACATGTTGGTGCGTCATTCTGAAGGAATTTATTAAATCGAGCTTCAAATATCGAGGTTTTTTCTTTACAGTTAAAGCTTAAACTGACTGATCTTCTCAATCACGTCAAACACAGCATCTTCGTTGTTGTAAGCGTCACAGAGTGTCAACCCGCCCTCGGCGTCGACTTGGATAACTTTCCAGTCCCTGAAGACGCGCACCGCGTTGCGGAATGGCTCTAATGAGAAACTCTCAGCTACAAAAAATAATAGAGACAAATTGTCAGAAAATGATCCCTGTACAATAACACTCGCAGAAAGCGGGAAAGATTATCACTTACGAAACAACGTCACTTCCTTTTGGACCCGTTCTTTTGCGCAGGTGTGAAGAGCAGACAGAAACTCGGTATCTAAACGACACAAACCCGAAATCAGAATGTTACAACATTACAATGTCTCAAAAGGCTAGTCTAAATCTTAAGGAGGAATCTAAGACACTAAAAGTCTTCACTCGAATCAGACTACCAAGGAACTAATCAGTTCAACAATACCTGAAAACCTTTGGTTTCTGAGCCACAGCAAACCGCAGGCTGACACCCAGTACGATTCCACCAGGGGGGCAACCACTGACTTCAAAAATTGCAGTCTCTTCAGTTGTTCTTCGTAAGTCGTAAGCTGGTGGAAATTAAAATAGTAGTAATTAAAAGGGTAATGAGTAAAAAAGATTCCTTTAAGCTACAGAAGTTCAGTGTTTTCTTTTTTTTTTTTTTTGCCTTAGAAAAAGAGCAGTCCCCTACAACGAAGTTAAGGGATCATCCTCGAGGAAGCTCGGGAATTCTGGCCAAGTTCTATCACTCACCTTGTACTCGATTTCCGGGGCATCAAGCCCACCCATGTCTTCGTCTTCATCGTCCCAACCCCACTGACTGCCTCGAGCACCGACAGTGCTGGTCTGTGGAGGGAATGCAAGTGAAGTATATGACCGGAAAAGAGAGGAATTTAAGCCGGAGTTATCATAACGAATCAATGCCTGCCACGAAGAGCTTTTAAGTGAATATGAATCTTTGAAACATGCGTACACTAGGTTTAGTGACCTCGCATAAGGTTTTCCCTTTTTTGTTTCTTAAAAAAAGAAAGGAAACAGCAGACTAGGTTAGTGACCTTCTCGCATAAATTCGTCTTCATTGCCGCCATTAGAACTTTCTGCAGTATTACAAACTTCTTGGTATTCGACGATCGACGCAAGAAGTTCATTATACGTTTCTCCAGGTGCACATAAACTTAGAGATAGTGGACGTAAAGAGTTTGAGAGTTATTACTAGTATGGAAGCGAAGATACAGCACACCGATGTATTTTGTATCAACTGCTCTAACTACTTACCTCGGTCGCCATAATCTTTAAAGTCTCACTCGCTGTGAATTTTTCCAGTCTTTCTGACAAAGCAGATTCCAATGACACACATGGCTGAAACGAAAACCACGATGACAGAGCATGTGAAAAAGAAACGGCGCTAATTTTTTTAGTTTATACAACTGTGACCTGTACAAGAAAATGCATCCCTGAAGGGGTAGCAGAATCAGTCGTTAAGGTCATCGCTCGTAGACAGCTGCGAAATACCCAGAACTGCGACACTACCAATTACTTGTTGGCTGGAAGTTGAGGTTTGGAGGTTGGAGGTTGGAGCTGAAGGTCGAGGGATGGGGGCGTAGGGCATTGATGTGAGGTTTGGGACACGAGAAGAGAGAGAAAGAGAGGGAGGAAAGTAGGAGGACGAGGAGGAGGAGGNGGGGGGGGAGAAGTGGGTTAACTACAGCTGTCAGCTTCCACGACGTATACAAGAAACAAATACAATACCTTACCCGAACAAATATGAACTCTCGCTGAAGAATCTCGCACAAATGTTTTGCTTTCTCGAGTATCTAAAGACAAGAAGTACAATAATGATACAACAGTAAAAAGCAAGCAGTTAGTAGGCGGGTCAAATACTCCACACAGCTGTTGCAATACTAGGAAAATGAGTTCACGCTTTGCATCACGAGCACCCACCCTGGATCTCTTTTAGCTGGAAGTTTAACAAGAAGAAGGAGATTTCTCTATATTGGAGGCCACTGATCACATTACATCACATCAGTTTAAAACCCACTTGGAGAAGGGGTAAGTTAACATGTCATATAAAAACGATTGGGATGTTCTGATAAACTAACGAGCACGTACCGACGATTGTGAGACTATCTTCTGTCCTTCAATGTCATCTGTATCGTACGATTCACTGTCTTCTGCGGCGGCGATAATTCCGCAAGCTAAACGAAAAAGGCATTTTGTGATAGTTTTAAATCCCTGGAACCGCGTTGATGACACAACAAGCGAATTAACAGATTTAATTTCAAGATCTAAAAACAAAAAACTGCCCTACCTAGAACCGCATCAAGCGCAAAAACCGAAACAATCTGCAACAAAACAGTAAATTGTTGTTAATCACTACACGATCACGATCACAATCACGATCGCGTAACGATCACTTCACGATCACGTAACGGTCTAAACTAATGTCCACCTGCTCTTGATTCCATGCACACTTTTTCCGGTTACATAACTGTACATGCCCCGAGACAAAACGAAATTTTCTTTACCTGGTTACTGTAGAATACCAGGTTAAGGACGTGCGGCAAAACAAGCTTGGGTTGAACATGAACCTGGACAGCATTCTCGGAATCTTTCTGTGATTCAGTTACTGCGACGTCATCTTCTAGCAGTCGTAAGGCATGACGAATAACGGCAGCGGTCTTCCCAGTGAAACCAACATCTCTTCAAAATAAAAAAAGCCTCGAATTTTAGTCGCGTTTCATCTTTTAGTCGACCTTTGGAACAACTTCGTTTAAATATAGCTTTAAAATTATATGTGAACAACAGTTCTAAGACTGTCTATAAATAAGATACTTAACTTAGTGCTTAACAAAAAGGGCTCTTTCACGCTAGAAATACCAGCTTGTACTCAAGATATGATAAGACAAGGAAGAGAAGCGTTTCATTTTGCGTGAGTTTAAATGAAGACAACTTAGAGACAATGTACTGTCGCTACCAACAAATGCAATTGTCTACCTTCCATGAGAAGTGATTTCTCCTTGCAGCCATTCGAAGGATGTACACAGGTCTTCAAATGTTGTACCCTAAAGAAAAGAAATAGTCAGTAATTTAATACACCAATATGTCTCACTAGAAGGAATCCCCATTTTCAACACGCCATGGCTGCAAACAACAACAACAACAAAAATGCATGTGCTTACCTTTCTGTGACTGTTTAACAGAAGGAAGGCAACCATGTTGGTGCTCATCACTGCACAACAGTTTACAGCGTCTGTAATAAAAAAAAGTTACTGTAGCTTGTTTACTGTCCTCAGTTTAAAACAATGACGCCATATTTACTCTACCGTACTTTTTGACAAAACTTTTTCCACAAGTTCCCTTTAAAATTCGTTTAGATCGTATAATTTTCTTTGAAATTTGTACATTGTTGCGTCTTCAACGCCAGCTAAGCCGAACGTAGTTCTCACTTTTTCAAACTGCTTTTGTAATAGATGTTCGATAATTTGGGTGGCTCAAAATTCACTATTATTACTTCGAGCTTCCGTATTACAGGCGCAGTGGCCAAACGATCAAGAGATCCAGAGATATGGAGTTTTATGGCTTGAGGAGCGTTATTAGGGTCGTCACGCATAGCTTCTCCAGTGAGGAGAAACGTTGCGTGACGACCGTAATAACGGCTGTGAAGGATAATAGAGGAGCACAGCAGTCTTTCCTCTTAGGCAACACAGTCTCACAGTGCCTCTCTCCACCAGACGTTTTGATCTTAGATACTATGAGGGCAGCAATAGCAGTGCTCTTACTTGCTTTATGTCATCAAGAAAACGGAAGATAAGCAGTATTGTACTATAAAAGCAGTCCACAGAAAAAGTAAAACCTACCATAAATGACATGATACCCAAGAGCCTTTGTGAGGGTAAAGCATTTGTCATCGCCTACGTCTTCCAATGAGACATCAGAGTTGTTTCGTAGAAGAGAGGACCTGGGCGTGGAGGTAACAGTTGCCTTGGAAACTAAGTTGTCGGCAAAATCCTTCATGGGATGTGATAGGTCCATGGCTCGCGAGAACTCCTGTTGTTTGGTGCAATAAGAAATGATTAGTACTTTTACTCACATGTGTAATAAACACTGAACTTCTCCTTGCAATAAGAAGTAATACGTGGAAAGACTTCAAGTAGTCTTAACAGTGAGAGAGGAGGAAAGTGAATGGGAAAAAAGTCTTGCTTCTCCCTCAATTCAGAACTTTGTACAAGGGTAGGGAGGACTCAATAACGGAAGCAGGAAAAGAGAATGAGCAACCTGAAAAGAGAACTGTTAATAAAAGATCAGCTAATAACAATGACCAACCTGGAGAGAAAATGGCTGCCCAAAATCAAGCCTCACATTGCCATATCTGGTTCTAAGGACACGCCAAATACTCTTCATTGTGTTCCAGAATGACTCAGGTCTCTTCTGTTCACCCTGAGCCAAGCAAGAAGACAAACAAACGTTGTAAATAAAGCTTCCTCGATTTTAACATAGAATACAACCGTATCACAAAGTAGATATTTTTCATTAAATTTTGTTAACAAATCTCACCAAAAGTTCCCTGGTGTAACCTGAATCAACAACCTGGAGAGAAACAGAAAGTACCGTGGTATTATTTCACACCAGTAACAGGTAAGACAATGCATGTTGTTTGTGCAGACCTACCTTCTCATAAGAGATGTTAACTGGCACAATATTCACATCTGGTACTGTACCTGGAAACAAAAAAACCTATCTGAGCAAAGGAATTCACACATGACCAAGACCCTATATGTGCACGTGTAGTCACTGCTTAGATCAGAAATCATAATTGTACACTGCAGGGATAGACGTTCTTGGCTTGAATCAACATGTACAGCCACTTGGTTAGTTTCTCTGTAAATCTTCTAACCACATCTGCCACATTGACATCAGGAGTGTAATAGAGAGACACACATGACTTTGTAAGGATTGACTGACAATCACCAGACTAGCAATACGTTACTGCATTTATTATTTTTTTTAGCTTTTACAGTGTCTCCATAGGGTAATCATTTATAATGCTGCGCATGCAAGTCAGGGGCACCCAACGGATCGTTTCGGTAAATTATCTGTTCGGAAGGCCTTTAATCCCCTCTGATTTTCTTGAGAGAATTGGCACCTCGAACTTT